TGCAAACTGAATTTAATCTTCTCTCCACAACAGAAACAGTGAAGCTTATTAATTTATCAAGATATAGATATTATGAACAAGGGGATAAAATCGGCAAATATCTAGCTCACCAGCTACGAGTAAAAGAAGCGTCCAGCCAAATTGCCGAAATACGCACAAAGTTAGGAACCATAACAAGGGATCAATCTAAAATCAACCAGGAATTTAAACAGTTTTATATCAACTTGTATACTTCCGAATCGCTCGGCCAGCGGGACTTGTTGGAGGGCTATTTCGAAGGATTGGACATTCCCACCATTAATGAAGAATATAAAGTTTCTCTAGAAACACCTATCACTTTGCAAGAAGTATCGCAAGCAATTCATAGTTTGCAAAGCTCAAAGGCTCCGGGCCCCGATGGGTATACATCGGAGTTTTATAAAACATACGTCTCTGAGATTGCCCCTCTTCTGTTAGAAGTCTTTAATGAATCGTTACAATTGGGCACCCTCCCAGCTACGTTCTATCAGGCTTCTATCTCACTGCTACATAAAGAAGGCAAGGATAAACTTGAACCAGCTTCATACAGACCAATAAGTCTCCTGAATGTTGATGCAAAAATTCTAGCTAAAGTGTTGTCTACACGCTTGGAAAACGTGCTTCCATCTATAATTCATGAGGATCAAACTGGCTTTATTAAGAATAGACAAATGACGCACAACATTCGTAGATTATTTAATGTCATTTATTCTCCCAGTCCGAAGTTATGTGATGAAATAGTGATATCATTAGATGCCGAAAAGGCTTTTGATAGGGTAGAGTGGGACTACTTATTCTTTACCTTATCAAAGTACGGTTTTGGCCCCACCTTTATATCGTGGATTAGGCTTCTTTATGTGTCACCAGAGGCTTCGGTGCGGACAAACGGGTTTAGATCGGATTATTTTAAGTTGACGAGGTCGGCAAGACAGGGGTGCCCTTTGTCTCCCCTCCTCTTTGCTATTGCGATTGAACCACTGGCCATCTCTATATGACAATATCCAGGGTATAATGGGATATTTAGGGGAGGAGGGGAACACAAGGTCTCACTGTACGCGGATGACCTGCTGTTATACATATCAGATCCTCTCAAGTCGCTTCCTGCGATATTATCTAACATAGAGAAATTTGGACAAATATCAGGGTACAAACTTAATTTAGGAAAGATTGTGTTATTCCCGCTTAATATTACGGGTAATCAGGAGTTAATTGAACGTTTACCTTTCAAAAAAGTGAACCAATTTAAATACCTAGGTGTCAATGTCACAGAAGGGTTTGACAAACTTTTTAAAGAGAACTTCATAAACTTACTGCAGCGGATAACACAAGACCTACAGAGTTGGCGCCATGTAATGTTCTCATTGGCTGGACGCATTAACATAGTTAAAATGAATATCCTTCCGAAATTTGTATTCCTGTTTCAATGCATCTACAAAATCCTGTAGTCATACATACTTTAAAGATTTGGTCTCAGATTCGAAAGACTTATGGCTGGCAGGCTGGATCATTGTTGAGCCCTCTCACTCATAATCATTGTTTTGCACCATCGTTCAACAACTCAATGTTTGACAATTGGGTGGACAGAGGTATTCACACATTTATGGACCTATTCATGGACAAGACGTTTCCAAGTTTTGCCCAATTACAAGACAAATTTGACATGCCTAATTCACATTTCTTCAAGTATCTCCAGGTCCGAACATTCGTGAAAAGTAGTAATTCATTATATCCCAGTTCACCAGATGAGTCAGTAATGGAAACTATCCTTTCGTACAGTCCTCAAAGCAAAAGGGCCATTGCCAAAGTTTATGCAAAACTCTCGGAATGTTTTGAAACTGTTTCTACTACACGCTTGAGGATGGCCTGGCAAGATGACCTTAATATGGAGATATCAGAAGAGCAATGGCAATCAGCCCTGGGACAAACTCATAAAATATCAACCTGTGCAAGGCATGGCCTTATACAATTCAAAATTCTGCATAGACTTCACTGGTCCAAACAAAGACTCCACCGGATTTATCCAACAATAGACCCATCTTGTGATCGCTGTGGGCTAACGCCAACATCATTAGGTCACATGTTCTGGACTTGCCCCAAGTTGACTAATTATTGGAATACTTTAAGCCATACTTTGTCTGAAGTATTACGCAAACCAATCCAGTTGGAGCCGTTGGTGGCTGTGCTAGGAGTTGTAGATACACAGAAAATACAACGCAGAACAGAGAAATATGTGATTTCTTTTGTCTGTCTTATGGCTCATAGATTGATTCTTTTGAATTGGAAACAGAAGATGGTTCCCTCACATTTGCAACTCAAACATGAAATTCTAAAATATTTGGATCTGGAAAAGATCAGACTATCTTTACAAAATCAGGAAGAACAGTTCGATGAGACTTGGAAGCCATTCATGGATTACTTTAAAGCTGGAAGGTGACTAAGGCAGGTAATGTGCGTCCCCCCCCCCTTTATTTTTCTTTTTTCTTGTTTTTGAGGATGTGCATTTATATTGCCATTTTGTATTGTACATATTGATACATCGTAACATGACTATATAAGAGTTCGTTGGTACACCTCTCTACTGCATGTTATTGTATTTAATGGTACACCTCACTCTCTGTTACTGTTGAAAAAAGTACAATAAAGAGAACTTTAAAAAAAAAAACTCCCCCAGTGTCTGACAAGTGATCTTTATGGCCCTTTATTTTTCTTTTTTCTTGTTTTTGAGGATGTGCATTTATATTGCCATTTTGTATTGTACATATTGATACATCGTAACATGACTATATAAGAGTTCGTTGGTACACCTCTCTACTGCATGTTATTGTATTTAATGGTACACCTCACTCTCTGTTACTGTTGAAAAAAGTACAATAAAGAGAACTTTAAAAAAAAAAACTCCCCCAGTGTCTGACAAGTGATCTTTATGGCCTGCAGTGCTGAAATGACCGCTAAGGACCCAAAATGTCAGCAAAATAAATAAAAGAGGAAGCTGGACCTCAAGAACTCTGTGGCTCTGGCTGTACGAGGGAGCCAACAGAGAGAAAGGTGGCTGTAGTGGATTCATCTGGAAGCTGATGTGTCAGGTACACGCCAAAAGTCACCTAAAAAGCCACAAAATAACAGGCAGAGTGATTTATTTCTACATGTAGTTCATCCACCTACAACTGCCACCCACATGTAACATCTACTTAAAGGAGCAGGAGATGTTTTTGACTGACCTTTCCAGTGCAATAGGCGGACAGGGACATTAGCGGCTCTTTTGTTTTTGTCCCAGTGTCCTGGTCCACTCCAACCATCTGGCACCTTTCACAGTGACCTTGGACCTTGGAGCACATTCATTTTTGAGAAACCCACTTTTAATGTTTTTGAAGATGTCATTGTTCATTTCAGTGTCAGCTCACCATGAATTGAGTGTTGCCAATTATCAAGTGTGACCAGTTATTCTCCTCAAATGGTTCTCCTCCAGCGATGACTAAATTGGCTCGGAAGCGGCTAATGACTTTCTGTGTGTCAAGGAGCTGATCGCCCTCAGAGTAATTCTGGCTGAGAAAGGGGAAAGTGGAAATTGCATGTTATTTTGCCAGGCTACGCAAATGATCCACTGTAATGTAAATATATGGGTGTTGACACATCCTGATGTTTTTTTCACTGGAGCATCTCATATTTTGAATAACACATAATGTGTTCAAACCTGCTGCTCATTAATTTCTGAATGAGCTCCACACTGGCATGGTTGATCATGAGATACTGAGCTTCATTCACCAGGGAGAGCGATGTGGAGGTTGCAGCTAGAAGGAAAAGACCTTATGTTACCCTCCGTGATTTATTCGATTTGAGAAAAAAATTGTGATGTCTGGCTTGAACAACACGCAACCTCAAAGAGCCTGAGGTTCTACTATGATAGAGTTGCTGGAAACAATACATTTGTCAATATTGATCAAACTGTGCACTCACAATTCAACATAAACGAATTAGGGGCGGATGATAAGGACAAAATCTTCTATCACTGTGTATGTAATTATATGCTGCAGTATCAATCACAGCTTTTCCACTGGTGAGAAGTCCTTGAAATCCTCAGAAAACATAAATGTGAACATCTATATCTATCTCACTGACAACAGGGCAAACTCCATCTGCTGAGAAAGACTGTGTAATACAATCAAAAGCTCCAGAAGAGCTACTACACAAACCTTGTGATGAGATTGTTTTGTCAATTACTATTATATACTGTATTCTAGAAATTCTGTTGAGATACTCTTTACAGGTAAAACTGCCAGAGGGGAGTTGGCTGAAAAACCCCATAAACCATCAGATTGATGCAAAAAAAGTGATTTCAATAATGTTATAAAACAGTGATGCTCACTGATGCAGCATTAACCAGCAGAAGCCTAATATAGTTATAGAAATAAAAGGAAATGAAAGGGGTACTTGACTGGGAGGATCTTCTTTTGAGCACTGGGTGCTACTGTTGCAGATTTGTCACTTGGGTCACTGTGACCAGTTTCTCTATGAAGCACTCAGTAACAGCATCTATAATTTAGCTTTAAGCTATTTCATCCATTTAGCCATGACTTGCTATCTGTTTTATCCATTACCTTTCATCAAATCTATTAGCTATTATGTTTAGACAACTACTTCAACAATTTGCCATTAGGAAGAGCAAAGGCTTTTATCTTCTCTGCTTGCTTGCTAATAGCTTTCATGCACTCTTAATTGCAACAGGTGGTGCTCAAATGTTTGTGTTCAAACTAAGTGTTTGATTTGTAATCAAATCATAGTTGAGACATTTTAAATTAGTTGAGTTACTCATAATCTTTCTACCTACTGGGTCTATGGGTAGCCTTAGCTGGGAATCATTGGTATTTACCATTATATTTACCATTATATTGTCCACACTATCTTCATAATAAACACATACAGTATTATCACAGACCAAACAATGTTCTTTCACAGCGTTAACTTACATAAAAAGAAAAAGATGAATTTCCTAAATCCCAACTTACAGCAAAAATTAATTCAAGGTCACAGATGGTTTTAAATTTTAAGTCAAGATAAGTGCACACTGTTACTGTCCAATAAAGAGTGTTTAATGAATACTGCTAAGGCTCTATGTTTGCTATGAGTTTACTGTTTCATTTTGGGAATTGGTGAAAGCTGGCAGAGGACCATTATTGGATTTAGAGTCACATTTTAATTCTGCAGTGAAAAATAATTAAGCAGGCATGTGATGGTGTTTTTGGACACACAGCTCTTGTCACTGTACCTGTGAAGCTAATGTGAGGCTAATGTATATCCCGATTTATCATTATCATGGCTACAGGTTGCTGTTTCTCACTGCAGTATACAATATATCATGCCAGAGTTGTCTATCAAAGGTGGCATTTGGTTAATAAAGAGCTAAAGTATGTAATGCAAGGGTTTGTGTGTCACATACTATATAATCTCTTCACTGATTTCAAGCAGAGCCCTTAAGACAGAAGAGTTACAACACTGAGGGGTCAAAAATGGCAGCAGGTCACATGACTGGTGTAACTACAAATAGTTCCAAACAGTCGATTAAGAGCCATTGTTTTTTGTAGAGAACAGTGGGATTTATCAGCAAATTAGTATTTTTTTATGATTTGTACAGCCTTACAAAATAATTCAGTGTTCTGTTGTTGTACATACGTTGTGAAATGTGTTTTCACAAATCACTAACTTCAAATGTCACAAGCATAATTAATGCAATTGATTTACAGCAGTCATGTCAGTGGCACTGCTGCTAATGTTTGGAAATATTCAACATTCCCATGATCTGCCATTACTGTAAAAAATGGTCCTTATAGAGTCAATGGATATGTCACCATTCTCCTTCTTAATCAACCCTTGTTTTCAAGCAAGCCGCTTTTTGTATAAACAGTGAAAATGTCCATATATAAGTTACTATGACACTGTGGAAACATCCTTAAGTCCGGTGTAAAGAAAGAAGAGCATAGCAGAGCAGGTTACTAGCTGACACAGATACCTCTGTTAGGCCTCTTCTTCATGTTTCGGGTGAAATCAGGACTTTGTCTTATCAGGCGGCATGGCTGCCCAAGGAAGTCTGAAAGCCATGAGGCGGCTTCATCCCCACAGTCGAGAATCTCCACCCTGGGGGCAGCAGGAGGATTACATTCAGGAAATCCCAGGGGAAATCTACAAAGTCTGATGCTTCTTACTATTTGGTGTGACATCTAATCCAAAAATCACTGGATGAATAGTTTTTTCAAACTTGTGACTCATCATCCGGCTATCTGTAAGAGGAGATTAATCTCGCCTCTTGCCCATTGTTTGCTTTCCCATGAAAAATGGTAAACATAAAGAATTTCATATGAAACTGAGAGAAAGGCCTCATAATGCCATTCACTCTACAAAGGTAGTGTCAGGAACAACAGTCATAGAATGCCTTGGTATGAGAGAAAAATTTGGAGCAAACAATATGTCACAATATTTCTTGAAGCTGCTGCTTTCAGATGTTTTAACATTGCCGGCTCACCTGTCACCACAAACTTTAGTCTGACACACCCGATAGCTTGTGTGCATTTGATCGTTGTTTTCCAAAGGAACCGAAATGGTATCCATCCCTGCAGGGCAATAGGAAAATATACCTCCTCTAGCCAAGACAGTTTCTCACAGAAAACCCAACTGATGGAAATTTCTTTTGTCAAGCAGAGTATTTCGTTCCAGAGAACCACTGACAGACTGTCTGACCTGATGCCTGCAGGAGCAATTTGTTTGAGGCCAGGTGGACTTGTGGGCGAATAAGGCATAAACGCGTCTCTCTCTTCTGACTCAGGCACACGCCGTTTCCATTCACCACCATCCAGCCTCTGTCATACAGTAAACCCAGTGGCCCCAATGGCCAATCGTGTACCTGAATGAAGAACAGTCTCATGTGAAAACAGAGGGAGAAAATTTGAGGTGACAGACACAGTAAGTGACAGAAAGATTGTGCTCAAACCTCATATGCTCCACATGATTTGATTGGATATATGTATATGTTGGTAAGAGTATAAGCCTCCCCATGGCTGTGTGAGTCTCTGTGTCCACAGCCCCTCAAGGATGCTTCTGTAGGCTGCTTCTTCTTCTTCTCATCTACTTTATGTATTTCTTCACTAGTGATTCTGATTTGTGGATCTTCATTTGTGCTCTGGGCTCCTGCTGTGGCTGTTTTTAGTTTCTCTAGTCTCACTTGATCCACTGTGACCGGTTTCTCTACGAAGCACTCAGCAACAAAGTTCAGGAATTTTTGACAGTCTTCAAATGTTGACATGTAGCCAAAGGATATGCGAACAGATCCAGTTGGCTGACCATCCACCAGGTCGATGCTGTCTCCACACACATGACCGGCCTTGAGGAGAAAAATGTTATATTCTACTTACACATGACGTTAACAGTCTTTGACATTTTTTCTATTCCTTGATTTCTGACCTGCAGGTTTCTCTTCATCTGCTGATTGGTGATCCCAAGGAAGGACTGACAGGCCCCCGTATTGCAGAAGCAGCCTGTACGTATGTGAATATTGTACAAACTGGCCATTCTGTCCACCTGACGCCAATAGGAGAAATGTTATAACATTCACCAGTGCTGCCTACGCTTAAGCATGCAGAAATTAAACTGTTATAAAACAGAAATCAATCCTTTTTATTAAATGCACCTGAGAATACCCAATTATCTGCCCATGAGAATCAACAAGGTTGAAGTTGAGGATTGCGCCCTGTGTGCTTGGACTCTCAAATTGGCCTTCGGTGTATATCTGAGCCACCGGTCGCCCGTTGCCATGGCAAAGACTTGACAGCAGCATATAAGTGTAGTGCGCTAACCCAAATGTATGCTGTTCAATGTTGTGCATGCCCCCTGAAGACAAAAAGGGATAATAGTGGAGATAGTGTTCATGTTAACCTGAAGCTGATTATCATTATGTGGTATTAGCAGTATGACAGTACTATTAAATGAGGGCTTTTAAAAAAATATTTTTCTATGAATCAGTGTGCTGTTATAGTACCTGTGATCCTGTAAAGAGCTTCAAAACTGTGATGTAGAGCAATTATGTCTAAGAAAGAGATAGTCCCATCTTCAAATCTGTATGAGGGAGAAAGAAAACACTGCATTTTAGAATAAGGATGCAGGAGCTATATAACAACAGAGAGCTCTGAAAGATTTGGATTTGGCAGGCTTGTACAGTAATTTACCTGTCAGATATATTTTCTGCCTGCACATAATAATCTTCTCCAGAAAGGTAAGCTGCTGCTGTGCCCCCTCCAAAATAAGTCTTTTTTAGCATACCTGCTGCACCGTTATGGATAAGAAGAGCCCCCAGCCCTGTGGGGAAGCCAAACATCTTGTAGAAGGAGATGGGAATGAAATCAGCAGGGCAGTCCTGTAGGTTTAGATGGGAGCAGCTGACATGAGAGGCTGCATCAAGCAGCACAAACCAGCGGCCTTGGTGTTCACATGCTGGGTAAAGGCGTCTTGCCTGGATGCCTTTCACATAGCTAAGAGGATACTTCCTCCCTGAGAAGTTGCTCTGTGCTGGGTAGCAGAAGAGGTGCGGTGTCTGGTAAATATCACCTTCACCTTGAGCCTCATCCTTTGCCTTGTTTTCCACTTCCTGAGGGGAGACAGACAGGGCGACGACCCCCCAGCCAGAAGCCAGTCCTCTTATGCCAACTACAGAGGTATGGCTGTCAGTGAGGTAGCAGTAGAGACTCCCCACTTCACTCTCAGTCTGTGGCCTCCAGGGAAAGCTCTCAGCCACTAATTTAAGAGCGGCTGTACAGCCAGAAGTGAAAATCACAGAGTATTCCTCAGGGGTGACATTAAAATGCTGCAATATCCTGTTAAGAAAATGTACTGTTTTTTAACTCATTCGAAGAAGCAAAGTGGCATCTTAGGCGTCACAAGAGGTTCATTATAATGGCTTCTGAGGGCATGAACACACTTTACCTGTATCTAACCCTCTCCACAGTGTCATGTGTCAGTCTGCTGCAGGGGCTGTGGCTGTGAGGGTTTCCTAATGGGAGAAATAACAATAGTTTTTTGTTTTGTTTTTTTAATTGCTAAATAAATAAACACATACATATGAATCTCTTACCATACAGATTCCTTGAAATGTCCTGGCAGTAGTCCCTGACCAGAGACTCTGGGTACAGAGTAGCTGCTGCGTGATCCAGATACGTTATTTCTGTTTAGAGAGCAGCCATAGGAATAGGAAATCAGCCAACGCCCACTTTCCTGTCACCACTGCTCAAGACTGAACACAATCATTACCTTTAATCCGCGAGAACTCTTGCTCGATCACGTCCTTCAAGTTTCCCCCATAACCGTAGTGGCTCCAGACCTGCTGAAAACTTTCAAAAGTGCAAAGTTTTTGGAAATCCATCGATCGCTTTCCGCTGAACAGAGCTGCTGTTAACACAAGTGGTATAAACACTGATACGTAACTCCCGTTTATAACTCATTGACAACACTTTTTCAGGGTCTAAGTCCGGTGGCGTATGACGTCAGAGTCCAGGTCACGGTCTAGTCCTCGTGCATAACATGGACCGTGCGTGGAATCGAGGCCTTTTACAGGGTGGTTAAACCTACATAGACAGACCTTGAAGCTGCACTGTGGCCTGCTAGCGCCAGTCTTTCTCTTTAAGCTGCAAAGAAGCAACACCTTACGGCAGTTTGCTGTGTAATCACGTGACACGCAAGTAGTTTTTTTTTTTTAAACTCCACCCCCAAAATTGAACTCTGCCCTGCTTTGACTAACTGCAGCTAATCATTGCAACACTATACACTTTGACTTTTACTGACCTAAACTTAACCTAAAGGGAGATCTCGTAAAAAAAAAAGAAAACTAAAGCTTGCCAGATTCTCTCAATTTACTGCAATGCCTTCATCTTTCAGTTCTCATAAGACATATTTATTTCCTTCAATCATAAAGCAAAATAGAAATTCTTTTGAAATGCAGTGTAACTTGACATCTACTGATGTCTGATAGACACTAAAGTTAAGCCCAGGTTTTGATGGAAGAACCATGTGCATATATTCATGGGAAAACATTGCAACTATAACCCTATCCGCCTAATTTTTATGACTATTCCTCCCAAGAAAGCTGAAATCTTTCATGCTTTCAGTAACTGTAACTGATTACACCAGCCAGTCTCAGTAATCACTTCACGCCAATACAATAAAAACCTTGACTCTTTAATCCCATTGGCACACAAGATATATGAAGGACAAGAAAGACAAGAAATTAGTCACAAGTGACTGGCATGAAATAACTGTCACGTACTTTGTCAGACTTGGCCTTGACAGATTTGATAGCTTTGTTGTGGTTCTCTTTCTATTTGGAGCTTGGAAACTAGGAACCACTCATCCAGTACCAGTTTTATTATAGTTTTTGGACTTTTATTGACCTTCATTCTTTAACCTCTAATCCTTACATAACCTTAACTCTGAAAAAGTCCCTTAACAACTTAAGAATGACAAAATAGCCTCTGTGGTTATCTTCATCTTTCTGTTGTTATGAGGACATTCAGTCTAATCAGAGAAATACAACATGGATGTGTTCAAATCCTGGTTGAGAAGTGTTTGTAATGTGGCCTGCTTAGATGTCTGATATGAGGCTCACAGCAGCCATTATTGTCTCTGTGCATCGCTGTGAATAGTAATTAAATATGCCACTTATGCTTCACTGATTCATTTCCTTCACAATTTTGAAGCTCAGCTGAACATTTTCTGTGCAGAAGGGCTGTATTGTATCCAGTATGGCCTCATTACAAGGGCAGAAGGGCTTGGGGTGGGGGTTGCACCCCATGAAGACATTGTGTTTAACATCACTAAATACCTCAAATGACATATTGTCATTCCCAGCCCTCAATTAGTCGGTCTCCTTGTATAAACTGTTGATTTCATACAGGAAGATTTATTTTTAGAGAAAATCTGGCCCTGTGTAGGTAGGAAGCTCTCTGGAAAACCCATGAAGAAAACAACACTCATGCAGAGCTGTTAGTTGTACACCAACATCAGTCAACAAAGCTTCTCTTCAGTGTGTCTGTGTGCTTTTGATGACTGCAAAAGGCTGGACCTTTCCAATTTCTTGTTGTTGTGGCAGCGGCTCTAAGTTCCTTTATCCGTGCTGGAGAGTGTCCAGCCGAAAGAGCCTCCTTGCCCTACCCTCAGGCCTCTTCATCTTGTGGATCTCTATATAGAGGAACGTGTGTTTGGTGGCTGTGACTGGGAGAATTAGGCAAGAGATATGGGTTCACTTGCCCTGCATAGGGGCTTATCTTGGACTAAGCTGAGGGACTAATAGCAAAGCCAGCCTCTGTTCTAGTTGGTCTGAGGGCACAGGGAGCCATCTGTCCACTCTGAGGATAACTGACAACAAAGGGGACAAACATTGGACATGGACTACAAAACAAAGGGCTGTTCATTTCAGAGACACCAGAAACAAAACAGACAACCATTTTCTATATAAGGTAAGTACTTTATACTAGTCATTCTTGTAGCGTTACAGGCTCCTCAGTGAGGCACGGTGAGACAGGTCACATTATTCACAGCTCAGTTTCTATTAGTAAAAATGCTGTAGACTTCAGTGATATGTGCATTAGAAAGAAAGCTGTAGTGCTTCTTCTGAACTTTTAATTTGGTTTCCCTTTTTGGGTTATATAAAAGGAACCAAAAAAAGTGAAGGTGTGTTTTAATGCACTGCTGCTGACTCCCAGTAGGTTGAGTTATTTTGAGCTGGCTGTTTTTCTATACTCTGCTGCGTCGTAAATGCATTTGTTGCACTCTTAATCTCAAAGATGGTTCATGCTAGAAATAATATCAGGTTAAGTCAGATGTGATGAATCTGCTAATACTGCAACCCTTGTGCTGAGGGAGGAATGCCATACTGTAAGGCCCTATGTTAATGGTCTGATATGTGCTGGCTCACAGATGGTTATAAATAGAACATTAGATAATCTAGAAGTGATTAGTGTTAGGTTAGTAGCATTCTTTTATTATGAAAAAGATCAATTATTTGACATGTGACATTTCAAAATGTTTGGAAAATTGTTCAAGCTACTGTCTATTTAAGAGCTTTGTTCAACTGTGGAAGACACAATAATTTTTTTATTAAAAATTTCAAAATGCTTAAAATGTATTTTACCCTGACATTTTAACGTATTTTCAAGTGGAACCCTTAATGTAATCCACTTACCCACTGTTCTCCTATTCCCTGAGGGTTAATGCCAAGTTTTTGTTGTTGTTTGAAGCACATATCTGCCTGTCAGTGCTCTGGGAGCTGGGTTCCTTCAGATGATCTGTTTTATCATGTATACTCTGTGGTGGTTGTTGCTGTGCACCAGTGTTTTTGTTTGGAAGCCTTGAGTGGGCCCTGATGTACTGAAGGTGACAGAAATGGGTCAGAAGGGTCTTAGCATTAACTAAACAAATCCTGGCCTATAGGATTAGACAAAGATGTTGTTGTTAATTTGATATATTTGCTGTAACTTTATAATGATACAAGTGAGGAGAATAGTGTGTCCTGTCAAAAGTAAGACACCACTTATTCATGATATCATTTGGATTTAGTTCCTTAGCTAGCTCATGCTGGTATTATCAACACTAACAATATTTTATTTTAAAGGTGTCTCAGCTAACCATGTTTTATTTGGCCATTATCATGCTGATATTACCACATTTCATTTGATAATTACTGATGCTTGTGATATCATCATTACATTTGGTCTTGCTTTTATTTGTGGAATGGCGGCAAAGAGTTCTGCATTTATTGGTTTGTGTGAGTATCAGAGATTTTGGTTATGTATTAAAGGAATATTTCAACATTTTTGAAAATGTTTATTTATTTCAATACTAATACTTATATAAATAATACAGATATTTATTAAATGTTAGAGAAAACTGATACCACTTTCATATCTATCTGTTAAACTACCACCAGCACCCAGTTAACTTAGCTTATCATAAAGACTGGACACAGAGAAACAACTAGCCTATTTGGGTTTGATACTAACAAAATCCACAGCTGGGTGTAGTAACTCCTCCAGTGGCCACTGGAGTTATTTCCCAAAATGTTTAACTAATGCCTTAAGAATGTCATACAGTTGTAGGATTGAATTAAATGCTGCATTAACTGGACACACCTCATGCACCTTCATCAATAGCAAGATATCATGTTCCCTCTGACCTTGTGACATCACCAAGGTCTCAGCAAGAAAATCTACAATTTGCATGAAGCCAACAGGTTTTAGGTGAAAATTCACATGGTAATGCTTAGTCAGTCCAAAGTCCAAGTGTTTGCTTGTTAAATTCCTTTTTTTGGAAATAAAATGTGGTTTGTTTTTTATTAGTTTCAAGTGCTTCAACTGAATGATGTTTCAGTGTACATTGTCCACCAGACATTGATCTTTATCAAATCTGGTGTTAAAAGTAAATGGTAGCGGCACCTCAGAGATCCATGACGGTCTAATAAACAAGGTGACCTTGGCCCTTTATACACTCAGTCTTCACTGTGTTAAGGTGCAATAAGCTGCCTACACTGCATCAAGACCTTTTTTATTTGTTCTGCAAATACACTGAGCTGGATACGGGGCCACATCCAAGCAGACATTGCATGGTGTCACTGCGATGTTAAGAGACAGTCACACATACACATCACTTGATCCTCAGGCCTCCACAGCACTAGTGGCTTCCTTTGTATCTTATCTGATCAGAAGAAGTCGCACAACTTGTGTTAAGCTGGAATTAAAGACATGGTCCCATGTGAAGATTACACTAAGTGATAGGCTTATCTTCCCCCTTTCACAGCTACACAATCAGAAGATGAACAACAATGGCCCACAACTCTTTAGAGAGCATCAGTTCCCTGATAAATTCTTAAAAGGCAATTTGACTCCCTTTAGCAGCATTAAAGTCACTGTTCAAACTTTGGAGCATTTTCCATTTACTTTACATTCACCATTGTTAAGGTAACGATCCGTAACACGTTCAAATAGGAATCTATTTCATTTCTGCCGCAGGCTGATTCCACAATGCAGCTTACACCAGGTTCATGA